GGGAGATAACCAGCTGGGCAGCAGCACTGCTGAGAAGGATTTAGGGGGTTTGCTGAATCCTAGGGATCAGCAAATTATAGGGTGTCTTGTGAGCATTCTGGCCAACCTTACAGAACCATGAAATAACAGACAATTCACAGGTTTCTTCGCTTATTTATAATATGCCTCATGCAAAGAAAAGATATTATAAGGAGATTTATAAACATCAGGAATCTACAGTCAATCAAATGCTTTCACTGCTTAAGTAGTTTTTGCTGCTTTAGGATTCTGAAAAATGATCCGATTTGAAGAAGGAACAATTTCTTTTAACAACAAGAGCAACAAATTATTGAACTGCCCCCCCCCCCCACATTTGATGTAAGGTCTTTCTTTTAGGATGGGCTATTCAAGAAAATTCAATCCAGGCAGGTAGAGAAAAGGCAAGCTTCTCTTAGTAAAGCATTCTGAAGTGATTCAATTGGGTTGGAAGAGACTGGAGTAGATTTTTGTAAGAGAAAATGATAGGACAAATTGCTTTTCTCCACGAAGTAGTACTTTTCTGCAGAGATCTGGAAAAGTATGTTTAAAGTCTCTATGGAAGCACTTTGGTCAGCAATACAAATGCAACTTGAAGCAGAACAGCACACAAAATCAAAGCTATGAATCCACTCACCAAAATGGTGGTTCTCCAACACACTATTCTGCAAGCTTTACAGGTATCCGCCACTCTTCACAAAGTGAGAAAGCTCTTTATCGGGTAGACAACAAAAAGCGAGAAATAACTGTCAAGAAGAAGGAAAAACATATATATTTATAAATAACAGAGGAAATAAAAAATACTGAACAATAAATATCTATAAAAGTCTTTAATAAATACAGTTCTTACAATGAACTCCTCAAGCAAAGAAAGAGCTTTATTACCCTGATAGACTAGGTCACTATTGTAACATTAGATAGTCTAGGTCAAAGAGGTTTTTGCTACTTTAAATAGCTAGGCAAGGACAACAACCACTATCTTCCAAGATTTTTCCTCTTTATTCTGCTACATAATCCATTACTTCCTGGCTCCTGTATTTTCTTCAAATGGATTTTTCCTTACTTTTAAAACAGACTTTTGAAAAAGATCTATTTGTGCACAGCCACACCGTTTTCTTTCTACTTGTCTGACCAGTGGAGTGGTCTTTTAGGAGCTCAGAAGGATGATAAATTGAGAATAAATTAAAAAGCCAAACTGCAGTGGGAGTACAGTTACACACTGAAAAAAAGAGACAGTAATTAGTCCTCCTAGCAAGTTTAAACCACCAAAAGGAAACATTTGGGTTCCCCAAAAGTGTAATCAGTAGGAGCAGTGTAGGGGAAAAAGAAAGGACACCCAAATTCCATCCAACTTCACTGTGGCCAAGTATTCACATTGCTCCTCAGAGTTCAACCAGAGTTGTTTAAGGGAAGAACATACAATAGTATAATGTATAAAATATATAAATGTTTTCAATGGTTACAATGCAGCCTAAATGTAAAGTTCCATTAATATTCCATATATTTAATACTATCAGTTTTATCCATTACTTTTAATGAAACAAGTCTGATATACTAGTAATACTGAACAACTAGATATATATCCCTGAAAATGAACAGACAAATTGGTATTGCATGTCCATTGTTCTACATAAAGTATTAAAATTATTAAATAAGCCTTATGGACTTCACTCTGCCACATATTGGGCACTAGGGCTGTGCGAAATGGCTGTGTTTCGATTCAGTTTCAAATTCAGCTGTTTTGGAGGACAGTGATTCATTTCAGTGTTTCAGATCACGGTCCTGTTTTGTTTTGGGTGAATCCGTTTCAAACAGGCCACAAGCTTCACGCAGTCCTACCGAGCCAGGTGGGGCTGCAGGGTCCCAGCAGGGAGCAGCACAGGGCCATGGGTGGCTTATCCGGGGGAAGGAGAGGGCCGCTGCCCTCTGTGCAGCTGAGGAGACCCCCCCATGTGGATCTCTGACCCCTGTCATTCCAGGTCATGGGGCAGAAAAGCAACGCAAAGTGGCGAGTAAGCTTGCTGGTCCCTGCCGTGCAACTCAGCTCCACAGGGAGCAGAGATCTGCCCCAGGGGTTTCTTTGCTGCCACTGCCTGCCCCAGGCTGCTCTTGTGATGTGGAGCTGCATGGGGTGGGCAATGGTGGCAAGGAGACCCTAGTGTGGATCTCTGCTCCCTGAGGAGCCAAGTTGCATGGCAGGTACCAGCACTGCCCTGCTGCATGAATTGGCTCCACGGAGAGCAGAGATTCGTGTTGGGGCTCCTCACCATCACTGCCTGTCCCGTGCAGCCCCATGTCACTGGGGCAGCACGGGGTAGGCAGCAGTGGTGAGGAGACCCCCAGCATGAATCTTTGCTTTCTGTAAAGCTGAGTCGCATGACAGGGCAGCAGCATACAGCTGCTTCCCTGCAAGCCAAGCTCCGAAACTCCAAACATTTTCTGAAACATTTTGGATGCCTTGTTTCATTTCGGAGATGTTTCTGAGCCTTCTGTTTTGATTTGGACTTGGTGTTTCAGGTGCTGAAAAAGCCTGAAACATCTCTGAAGCGAAATGGCTGCCGTAATTTTGCACAGGCCTACTGGGCGCTTCTACACAAGACATTTACTGTGCAGTAGACTAACTGCACAGTAAACATCATGCATCTAAACATGCACCCCTATTAGGCTACAGTAAATTAATTTAGTCCACAGCAGGACAGGACTTGTAAATGCTGCCCCAGCTCGCTGGGGCATGAGGGTGCTTCAGTACAGGGGCTGTCTGCTGGCTAGTCTAACACTGAAGCATACTCATGCCTCAACCAGGCCCTTCACAGCATGTTGAGCCAGGAGGAGCAGCCTCACACTGGCAGGATAACCCCTCATGAGTCCTGCCAGCTGGGGCTGCTCCAAACACCTCAAAGTGCTGCAGTCCCAGGTGCATATGCAAATGGCATGCCTGGGAGTGATAAACTCTGGAGTTTATTGCTTCACATTAATTGCATGTGTAGATGCACCCATTAATACTGTATGGAATCTTAGAAGGCTTCAAGAGTCAGTAGTCTTAGAATAAGTCCATTTTGAAACTGATATAAATAAGGACTGCGGGCACCTATACACATGCTCTGGGAGGGGCGTTTTAGAGTGGTTTAACTTTCAATAAGCTTTAGTTAAATTGTCCTTGTCACCTTTTTGAAACACAGGGATACTGAATACATGAAATGGTGCCAAACGCTAGAGCATTCTGATGAGAACACTCCAGCAGACTTGATCAATTGAGTCTACTCCAACACTTTCTAATAAGAATGCACTGAAACATGTGTAATAGTGCCTATTAAGCATAAGTAGGTTGACAGGTGTAACTTCCATGTAGAGGGGTTATAACAGATGGTTTGTAAAAACAGAAGATACAAAGAACTGAATGTAACAAGATATACAACGAAACAAGTGCCCCCTCACCTGGCTGTCACTATGATAATAATTTATGTCCAATTCTGACACTTTGCCTGTACACTCAGTTGCACACCCACTTGGCACATCAACACAAGACACTAACCGTCTGGTAGCCTGATACTCCTACCCAGTAGCGCTGAATGGCAAAAACCATGATGTGATGCTACTGCACAGTAGTATCAAAGAAAAAGGTGTTAGGTGGCACTACTGCATAGTAACTTTTGTTACTGCACATTTATTTAAACACTTGTTTATACAAATACTAAATAAATGTGCAGTAACCACTGCACAGTAGCGTTTCATGTAGATGCAGCCATTGAATGGTTAACCTGCATTCACTTTACAACATCTTACAGCTCATTTGCTGGTACACTACAATTTTGATCACTACCAAATCTAACAAAGATTTTTATGGGGAGTGCATCTCCTTGTATCAATTATGAATTATGTTACAACTTAGAGGGACACTTCTTTCCTTTTCACTGTTGCAGGTTTAACCATAAGTATAAACCAAATAGCTTTTATTCATTGACATTTGGCTGGTCATGCCAATGATAATAGTTGGTCAAGCCAATTGACACGGGATAAATGCTGAAGTGCATAAGTGCAACCCCCCCCCCAACAACATGCATCTTTATATACACACTAGCCAACTGCCCATCAAGAATGATGGGGGGGGGACTGGGATGGAGTGCTGCCACCTATTGTCCCATGCTACCACTGTTCTGCCTCTTGCAGGGAACAGGGTGGGGGAACCAAGGCCAGCACTGCTGGTCTTGGTTCCCCCACTCTGTCTGGTCTTTGACATGGCTTTGGAATCATAGTGGTGCTCCCCCACGCTTGGAGTACTCTGATTGGCTGTTTCTGTCAGCCAATCAGAGCATGAATAAAGCATTACAGATGGACAGACAGAGAGACAGACAGACTTAGGCTTTTATAATATTAGAATTGTTCCTTGAACCATACAATCACAGGCTAACATGTATACGCAACTAGATAATACCTTATTATTTCTTCCTCTTGAATTTTAGCCATTTTGATCTATTATAAGTTTGGTCTATTTTCTACATTCCTATGTAATCTTGTCACATTCCAAGTCAACCAGGAAAATTTACTGATTGTGTTAGTTTTGACAAGATACTCAATACAGAAAATAGAGGGTGCAGACATTAATCAATTCTTAACCACTTAATCCTTTTAGAAAACTCCCACTCCTCCTAGGCTGCTCGCTACTTTCTTTGTTACTAAGTCTGAGGATCAGTCAAGATGTAGTTTTGACGACTTTACGGAGTTAACCCTTTCCTACCATCCTAAGGAGGTCTAGCATCTGGGTCAGCCAACAAACATAATGACAATCTTGTGAGAATAAGGGGAAAAAAATTAATTTGTATGGATAAATGCTGCTTAGATATAGGTTAGTGAAGAGACTGAGGCCAGGATTTTTAAAAGAACAATCCTCTTCACTGCGCTCAAGAGAAGTCAGAGAGAAAGTAATCACATATGCTGACTCTCAAAGCTCATCTTCAGGGGTGGGAGGGGTCTGCAGATGAAGGGGCACATCTAACCACCTTCCCAGCCTGTTAGGAAGTATTTTGCTTTCAGAAGCCAGCAATAGCTGGAGCATGCTGTGCTCTACAACATGCCTCCCTCACCCTCCACAAGGAAACTTAGCCTTCTAAGCAGGGGGTCCTTTCATAAGTTTTCATCCACCAGCTTGCTTACTTTTTTCACTATGCTCAGCTAGATCAGGAGTTAGCCCTTAGAAGCTAAATGTAAGTTCTAGATATTTGTCATTTAGGATTGTGTTAGTACAAGTGCTGTAATCATGTACCATACTTTTAAAAAAAAATCTCTCTTTTTACAACTATCTGTAAATAAGGCATAACATAGGCTTTTAAAAAGCAACATCTTTCCGTCTTGTGTAACGTACAAAGCAAAACCAAGAGACTAAATGTAGCTCTCATTATCAAGCCAGCCATAGCCAAGATGACTATACAGTAAGCAAACTGGAAAAAAGGATGGAGGAAAAACCTGTCGTCTCTTAATATTCTAACATAGTTATGTTAGGGATTACTTATTTTCATAAGAGGTTAAACAAAAGTGTAATATAAGTTCAAAGATTTCCTTTAAATTCTAAACCATGTCTGAAAATGAATTTCAACCAGTACACTTTCATTAGCTTATAAATAAAATAAACCATTCTCTCATAGCTGTTGTTTTCTTCACTTAGGATAAATAGATCATGGGCCTGCAGCGGATGTTGGGTATTTTTCAAAGCTTCAAGAGATATCATTTATTGTGCTATTTCATTTATCAAGAGCTAAGTGACAAATGATGAGCTT